ATATATATATATATATATGCCTTTATTTTCTAATTTCGTAGGAAACAGAGATCTTTCTATACATATTGTCAATATATGCTTACTCTTTGTGGTCCAACATTAAACATATGCTTTTCCATCTACTCTCAACATAGATAATTCAATTAGTAAATTTATTTTTAATGAGGAGTCTTTAATTTTTAATTATTTTTATTTTGCCTTCTTTCAAAAACCTGGGTCCTTACCATAAAAGAAAACAAACAAAACCTTGCTTTTTTTTTCTAAGAATGACATTTACCAGTCACATCTTTCATGGTTTTCCAAGAAAACCAACAGTAGGAAATAGAAAGATAAAGAGATTTATTTTTAAAACTTGGCTTAACCAGTTTGAAGCTTGCAAGTATGAAATCCGCATGGCATATGGACAGTCTAGATATTCAAGCAGGATTTTTGCTATAAATTTGAAGTCAAATTCTTCTTTTCCGGGAAACATCAGTTTTTGCTTTTAAGGCAAATAACTCCTATTAGGCGAGGCTCACTCAGACTATTGATGGTAAGCCTTGTTACTCAAAGTCTGCTGATGGCAAATGTTAGGCATATCTACACATACTTTTACTGCAATGTCTACATCAATATTTCCCTAAATAAATGGGCTCCAAAGTCCACCCAAGTAGAAACATAAAATTTAACTGTCACTCAAGCTTTCTGTTCAACTTGCAATACCAACTTCTGACATTTTTCTGGATTCCTAGGTCATCCTAAAGATTGATTATTAAACACTTTCTGAGAGGAGTGGATAAAGGAAAAAAGGCTGTAACTCAACCTGTTAGATGTCTTTTATGCCAAGTTTGTGTTCTCCCAAACCAAAGAATGAATTTTAAGGAACAATGGAGGATAAGAGTAGGAAATACTTATTGAGAGGGAGAGTTATAGCTCTTGAAAGACAGGAGGGGACCCAGATAATGGGTTGCTGTGAACCCAACTTTATAGAGGAAGTTTTATAGAGTATAATCATGAGGTGGGTGCAAAATCATGAAGTGGATGTAAAATCACAAGGTGGATGTGAAATACAAGTTGTGCACAATGTGGGACAAAACTATGATTAACTAATAAAATTAAAAGTTTAGCTGTGTAGGTAATATTGATCAAATGGTGAAGTAGGTCACATAGAAAATGTGCCTGGAAAGAAGGGCCTTGTAGGGAGAGACAAATCAGAGGGTCTTGGTCACCCATCGGGGAGACTGACATTAATGTTAATTTATGGCTTCTCTCTTGGGGAGGCAAGCAGGCCTGGCTACTTTGTCTTTCTCTTGAGCTGTGTCCTCCAACAGATGCACCTTTGGCCACAGTTGAAATGGATTTTTATCCTTGGTATTGACTCCTTCAAGGGCTTACCCTTGTATGACTGCCTATAATAAATATCTCTACCTAACTTAGCTGTGTATAACAGAATCACCTCACACAGTCTTCACAGGATTGGTGTACTATCATTTCAGCTGGTAATTCTTGAAACATAAAGCTCTCTTTTATAGAGATTTCCAAAAACATAAGTGAAAAAACATTCTAGAATATTATTTAATTCAACATTAATAAGTAAAGAGAAATTGATTCACTTGATAGTCTATCCAATTTTCTTTAGGCAAAAAATAGCTAACAGTAAACAAGAAAGTTTGGAAGTTTATCTCTGATACTTGAGTTTCCCTTTCATTCACCTGTCTTTTCCACACAGATCTAACTGCATCATCCAACCCAGAAACATATGGAAGCCAGGCTTGGAACTTAGGTATAACCCTTGTCCTCAGGAGGCTAAGGCAGGAGGATCACCAGGTTGTGGCCAGCTTAGGAGACGTAATGAGACCTTAATCAAAATGACCTTCCTTCCCAAAAAGCAGTTCCTACCATCACATCAGAGGCTGAGATTTAATCAGTCCTGAGCAAAACTGACTGTGCACCTGAGGCAAGTCTTCAGAAGCTTGGTGCCCTCACCCAAATTAGACAAAGAAAAGCTTTGAGATCAACAAACCAAGCACAGTTTGGCTCATTGACTGATCCTGCTATAACAAGGGTTAAATTTTAACTCTCCTTTATCTCAATCTGATGTTACATTTGAGTATTTTGGACATAAGTATAGAATAAAACTTTTATCTTCTCCTAAAGAAACCTCAGGCATGAATAATCATGTAAATACCTGCCTTTTCCAAAGGCATTTTCAACCTGGTCTATTTCTTCCATGATCTGAAGTATTCTTTTTCTCACTAGGCAGAAGGCACCTAATTCGCTGTATACTCAAAAATAAGACCTAGCCAGAGAATAAATTCTAGCTAGACTGGAATGGGTATTGTTTTCCAGGAAATGGGGTTTGCTCCTTCAACTACATTTACTACTACAAAGCTCATAAAAAATAAATGCCTTTTGCTTTCTGGCAAGTTCTAGCTGTAATTAATGAAAGTAATGCCCACTTACCCATCCATAGATCAGGAGCTTGGCCTCTGCCTAAGTAGGAAATTTCCCAACTAAGAATGAAGTGTGAGTGCCCACAATCTTCACTGTCAGAAGAATGTATTCATTACACATTTTTTCACAAAGTCACAAAACATTCCTGATTCAAGTAACAAGCTCTGCCCCCACCTTGTGGATGCCATGTATAAATGCAGCAGGCTGAGCGGAAAGATTCTGAAATCAGATCTTTAAAACTTGTTTCCATGAAATCATCCAACAAATGCTTTGTGTTACAGCTCTATTTACAACAATGCAAAAAGCCGTTAACAAGATACAGACACTTCAACTTTTTTCTCCGAAATCAACTGTAATAATTTTTCCAATTTGGCAACTCTGTGTACATTGACTGAATGTTACATCAAGATGTTTCATTTAGTCACCACAGGCTCATCTCTCCTGCTTCGCGGTCTCTCTTGCCCTTGACCTGCAAGATGGGAGATCTTTAGAGAGAACACTGAACACCCTAGAAGCCAAATGCTTTGGCAAAGGTGTATGGTAAATAAACACAAGATAGTTGTCGATGATCCTGTCAGGAGTGAATGAGATTTAGAGAATATTATTTCATCCACAAGCTATCAAAGACTGTATACCACTGAGAGGTATAA